TTCTTGTTCATGGGAAATCGTATGGAAGCTCCAATTGAAGGCATAGGGACTTATCGTTTGATCATGGAGACTGGACGTCACCTTGATCTATTACAGACTCTTTATGTACCTTCAGTTTCTAGGAATTTGATTTCTCTTTCAAGACTTGATGTTTCTGGATTTGATTTAAAGTTTGAAAATGGATGTTTTAATTTATATAAGAATGCTATTTGTTATGGTTCTGATTTTCTTAGTGATGGTTTATATAAATTGAAACTCGATATTGGTTTTTCTGAATCCCTTCTTACTGTTCAACATAATGTTGGAATTAAACGTATTTCACTAGATGAAAATTCTGCTTATTTGTAGCATAGACGTTTGGGTCATATATCCAAAGAAAGGTTAGAAAGATTAGTAAAAAATGAGATTCTTCCGAATCTAAATTTTACTGATCTTACTAAATGTTTGGATTGCATTAAGGGAAAGCAAACCAAGCATAGTAAGAAAGGTGCCACAAGAAGCACCCAACTTCTTGAAATTATACACATCGATATTGTGGACCCTTTGATGTTCCATCTTTTGGTGGAGAGAAATATTTATCGATAATTTTTCACGTTATGCATACATCTATTTGCTGAAAGAAAAATCTCAAGCAACAGATGCTCTCAAGGTGTTTGTTAATGAGGTTGAAAGGCAATTAGATAAAAAGGTGAAAATCATTAGGTCAGATAGAGGTGGTCAATATTATGGAAAATATAATGAATTAGGGCAATGTCCAGGTCCATTTGCAAAGTTCCTCGAGGAACGTGGCATATGTGCACAGTATACTATGCCAGGAACACCTCAACAAAATGGTGTTGCAGAAAGGCATAATCGAACACTTATGGATATGGTTAGGAGCATGATGAGTAATTCCTCATTACCCAAATCATTGTGGATATATGTTCTTCAAACCGCTGTATATTTATTAAACAGGGTTCCTAGTAAGGCAGTTCCAAAGATCCCTTTTGAACTGTGGACAGCAAGGAAACCTAGTTTAAGGCACCTGCATGTTTGGGGTTGCCTAGCGGAAGCTAGAGTTTATAATCCACAAGAAAAGAAAATTAGATTCTCGAACAGTACGTGGTTACTTTATTGGTTACCTAGAGAAATCTAAAGGGTATGTGTTTTACTGTCCAAACCATAGTTCGAGAATTGTTGAAATCGGTAATGCAAGATTCATTGAGAATGGTGAAGTTAGTGGGAGTGCTGAAAAGCAAAGTGTGGAAATAAAAGAGGTGAGGGTCAATATTCTATTACCCATGAATGTGCCTACTTCCACACAAATACCAAATATTGTTCCAATTGTTGAAGAACACTTTGACAACACCGAGCAACCTTTGGATGAAACACTTCATGAAGGAACTAACTCACAAATATCTGACACAAATGAACCACAAGAAATGCCACTAAGAAAATCTCAAAGAGTTAGAAACTCGGCTATTTTGGATGATTACGTGGTTTATTTGCAAGAGTCAGATTTTGACATTGGTCTTAATAAGGATCCGGTTTCATTTTCACAAGCCATAAAAAGTAATAAGTCTGATAAATGGATTGATGCCATGAAGAAAGAGTTAAATCCATGGAATACAATAAATTCTGGGATCTTGTTGAATTGCCGGGAAGTTCTAAAAGAATCGGGTGTAGATGGGTCTTTAAGACCAAACACGATTCAAATGGCAATATTGAACGATACAAAGCCAGACTTGTTGCCAAGGGTTATACTCAGAAAGGAGGCAATGATTATAAAGAGACCTTTTCACCGATCTCAAAGAAAGACTCGTTAAGAATTATTATGGCTTTAGTGGCTCATTATGATTTAGAGTTACACCAAATGGATGTGAAAACTGCCTTTCTTAATGGAGACCTCGAGAAAGAAGTTTATATGGACAAACCAGAGGGTTTCGAAACTAAAGGAAAAGGTCAAATGGTGTGTAAACTTACATATATGGACTTAAACAAGCCTCACGACAATGGTATATGAAGTTTAATGATACCATAACATCTTTTGGATTTGTGGAAAATACAGTTGATCGGTGTATATACCAAAAGATCAGTGGGATAAAATTTATATTTTTAGTCCTATATGTTGATGACATTCTACTTGCTGCTAATGATTTAGGCATATTGCGTGAGACTAAAGACTTTCTCTCTAAGAATTTTAAAATGAAAGATATGGGTGAGGCATCCTATGTGATAGGAATAGAAATATTCCGTGACAGATCACATGGATTATTGGGATTGTCTCAGAAAGGCTATATCAAAAGAGTTCTAGAGAGATTTAACATGAATAATTGTTCAGCAGGAATTGTTCCGATTCAAAAAGGGGACAAATTTAGTTTCATCCAATGCCCTAAGAATGATGTAGAACGAAAAGAAATAGAATCAATTCCTTACTCTTCAATTGTTGGTAGTCTGATGTATGCTCAGACCTGCACAAGACCGGATATTAGTTTTGCGGTCGGAATGCTAGGAAAATATCATAATAACCCAAGAATTGATCGCTGGAAAGCTGCAAAGAAAGTTTTGAGGTACCTGAAAGGAACAAACGATTACATGCTCATGTATAGAAGATCCAAGCATTTGGAAGTTGCTGGATACTCGGACTCAGATTTCGCTGGATGTATTGACACTAGAAAGTCTACGTTTGGTAATTTATTCCAATTGCTGAAGGAGCAATATCGTGAAAGAGTGCCAAACAGTTTGTCATTGCTACATCCACGATGGAAGCAGAATTTGTGGCATGTTTTGAAGCCACAATTCATGCATTATGGCTGCGAAACTTTATTTCAGGATTTGGGGTTGTCGACACCATTACCAAGCTACTGAAAATTTACTGCGATAATTCTGCAGCAGTATTCTTCTCCAAGAACGATAAGTACTCCAAAGGCGCCAAACATATGAAATTAAAGTACTTTACCGTCAAGGAGGAAGTTCAGAAACAAAGAGTGTCACTTGAGCATATTAGAACTGATCTCATGATTGCAGATCCGTTAACGAAAGGTTTACAGCCAAAGATATTTAAAGAACATGTATATAGAATGGGTCTTGGCTGTATTTATGACTGATGTATTATGATATTTTGACACTCTGAGCTTATTTATGTGTTTCTGATATACATTAATGATTTCCTATTTTTCATAATGATGTGCACATTATTGTTTTAAGATATTACAGGATAAGTCTCAATGAGACATTATTGTGGACCATAATATTTATAGCTTATAGACCTGGTACGATGAGTTGCTAATGTTGTAGTATATGGAAGGGAGTATGTAGACAAGTTATATATAACCGCCATAACTCACATTTAGTAGTTATTATATTATGGTATTTATGATGGACGTTATAGAAGGGATTTGTTAATGCGCAACTAATGTTTATATTATTAAATACTAGTATCCATACTCGCGCGTTGCACGGAGAATAATAAATATACTTCTTCTTAAGAAAATATATCTTGGAAAAGATGGTAGATACAAAAAGCATGAAAATGCTATTATTTTTTGGAACATGTTAATGTAAAAGAGTTACGGGGAAACAATTACTCCCATTGCACAACCTTAATATCCACAATGTACGCACTCTATTACAACAATTTCAATTCTAGTAATACTCATCCTAATGTTTGTTGTGCAAAGTTATGGCCTTACGTTTATTTAATGATTTAAAAGCTACGGCCAAAGGCAAAATGTTTCATCATTCATACACACAGCAAAATTCTAATTATTCTTATTTAAAAAAGTATTGGTACAGTAAAATTTTGGTTATTTGTAACTCATTGATATGGAGAGACTCATTCTTTGTGTTCTAGCACCGGCGATTATAATTCCTTTGTTTTGCACAGAGCTTCGAGATCATTTATTTTCAAATACTATTTTATTTAGCCCAAAGAAAAATAAGTTAGAATGTTGGGAACTAAATGGTTATGCCATATTTTCCGGTTTGAAAAAACAGGGCACTCGATATGATTTGAACCTGAACCACCGACACAAATATGAATTTGGTATAATTGTCTATTACTCGACTCGTCTCGTCTAACTTACTTTACCCACGCGTGTAGTTGCACTTTTAATTGAATTGTAAATATTATTAAAGTTAAAAAATCCACCATCAAGGTTGATTTATAATGTTGTTCAAGTTAGAACTCAATAATTATGCTATATTTTTCCCTTTGAAAATATGGCACTATGATGAGATTTCATCGACATAAAATTTTAAGGATTAAGTCTCCGTTGACATAACAATATTAATGTGGTATAATTGCCTATTACTTGACTTGTCTATATTACTTTAGAACCTGGGAGTGTAGTTTTCTCTTTATTGAATTGTAAATGTTGTTAAAGTAATAAAATCCACCATCAGGGTTGATTTATAATATTGTCAAAGTTACAAAATCCACGTAGGGCCACTATATATTCCGATATCTTATGTGCAGATCAGAAATAATAGATGCTAACTAAACAATCAAATTTCTGGCAATTGAGAGAGACTATTTTCTTTATCTTTCGAACTAGCCATCTTCATGGATTTCATATTTACCTATTGTTAGAAGGTTTATTGACAACTTATAATCAATAATGTGTATATCTCATATTGGTTAACGTATTAAAAAATTCGACGAATATCAGGCATCAGGTATTCGACCAATATCAGGTATCCTACGTGAATATGTGACCCAATAAGTTTAAGGCCCATAATTAATATTTAATTAATGAGCAAATCTCATCCGTCCGATCGGTTACTTGATGGACGTACCGAATTAAGCGAGAACCTCTATAAATTAGTCCTCTCCCCACCCATTAGGGTTACCGTATATTTTTCCCTCTCTTCCATCACTAAAGTCGGCGGTAACGAAAGCTAGGGCAAAGGGCGAGAAACCAATTCCAACTAACACTTCCGCATTACGACGATGGCTTACAATTTAGGTATGTTTTCTGTAATGATTTTTGTGTAAGATTATCATGTTCAAGATCCTGGTGTAAATTAAGTTTATGCTTACACATTTCAGTACTCAAAAATTTGTGTTACAACATGCAAGAGAAACAAAAGTTATTTCAGCTGGCAACTAGAAGTGTTGCCACATATTCTCTATACACCAACCCTCTGCCCCCAGCGGCAAAAGCATAAGCATCCTATAAACTAAGATTTAGCAAAGCTCTGCCTAGTTAAACCAAAACTGTGGTTGGATTAGCAACCTCCAAGCTTTCTGTATTGCTCTTCATAGGAAGCAAATGCTTGCAAGTTTTTGTGATAGCAACTACTGCGTTTTGTGTGGTTCTTCATTTTGAAAAACTAATTTAAAGCCTTCACAACAGTATTGACAATTCTCTTCACACATTGTACAGCAGCATCCATGAACTTTAATGACATGAACTCATTCCGGCAGGCTGTTGGAGTTGCTTCACAATTCTAACACATTCAACCATTGGGCAGTCTGTTTTAATCGCACTTGAGGCAATATGTGATCTGCTAACAGCATAGCCTTCCTGTAATCAAGCCCTCCAAAACAATGATGTTAATCTTATGTCTAACTAACAGTTGCAACAAGTAAATCTAGGAGGTAGTGCGCAAGGAAGTTATCCTTATTCACTGAGGCAGTAGCAGAATGACATGTAATTGCTCCATCAGGAATGTTTGAGTATATAGAATATGTATTCAAACTCCCACCAAATGAACAGATAAGAAAACAAGAGTAGACAGGTGTTTATTCACAAAGACTTAGGAGCACAACAGGATATTCGCATAAAGTCACCCGAGGGATGAGCAGAACAGGATATCGGCATAAAATCAGCCTAGGGAAGGAATCCATGCAACACCATTTATTTTAGGGAAAAATCACCTTTGCCCCAAAGTCCGAATAAAGGCGTCCTGCACAACTCATGTTTATATGGCAGTTGACCCCTAGAAATTTGCATTAAGACCATCGTCCATCATTCCTATTTTACTCAATTAAAGATCAATTTCTTTTTTTCTATAAGTAAAAATTTGGATCCGAAATTAATGGGGGGATAATTAAAGATCGATTTCTATTAAAACATTGAGTTTAAATATAAAAGTCCACCGAGATTCTATATAACATTGACTTTTCTTATGTTGATGATATTTGATTTTGACATTTCCGTATGTATAAGTGGTTTACAGCATTATATTAAAAATATTATTAGCATATTGACAACGAATAAACTGCGATAAGTTCATATGTATAAGATGGTTTACTATCTTAAAAAAGAATACAAATAGCACATATTTGTTTCACTATTTTAAAATGGGCAACAAAATTACCCCAAACTGTAGTTCAGTTTATTTTAAAGAGAAACTTTTAAAAACAAATCTTTCTTGTACTTCAGATGCTTCATTACCATGACTTAAATGTCATCTGCACATTAGAAATTTCAAAATTAACATAGCTACAATTTAATGTTTTCTTTTTTATTTATTTGTATTAATTGAAAAGGTTCATAAATTAATTGAAAGGGTTTGCAAATTCTCAAAGTAACATGCACAAGCATTACATATTCTTTGTGGTAGATACTCAAGTAAGCATATGACAATTTAAGTTTGTTACCTGCCTAGATTAAAATAATCAAACCCCAATAGTAAATTGTCCCCGAGTTCTAATCATGCTTCATAAGATATTATTACTGAAGATTGCATATAAATACAGAAAATATTTTTGTCTAGTTTTATATTTTACATGAATTTTGATATTTAGACCCAACTTAGTTGATGGAAATGAAATTTACTTGGTGAATGTATCAAACTATTATTCCAGATAATGACATGTGAAGCTAGGAAAGTCAACTTGGGAACAGTTTGAAGTTTAAAGCAGCCTCAGAATGAGCAGAATGATTTTCGCCCATCAAATTTAAAGAAAATGCTTGCTTATGAAAGTATGTTACAAAGTTTACAGAGTCATAAAACTTAGCTGGTGTTTGAGTTAGGAAACAAGATGCTTTTTTGTATAACTTTGAGAGAATTGGTTTTGGATTTGTTTCCCGGAAAACATATCAGTAAAGCGCCGCTAATCATTTTAAGAGGCTTTCATATATGTAAAAGTTACTAGTATAAATTAATATTGACTTACTACTTTATTTGCTACTAGAGCTGTTTATCAAGTACGTTGCTTTTCTGCCAGTGGGCAAGCTGCTAGGTGCGGACACTGTTTTGTTCAATTTGTTTTGGAGTGGGAAAACAGTTCTGGTCTAGAAATCAATCATGTAAGGAATCTTTTAGGTTAGAAGGCCATAGCTAGTCCTCTGGTCAAATATTTCGGTACCTACATAACTGACTCTTTTTTTCTCATTTCTTTTTAGATTTTCAATGGCTAACACCTATTACAATTTACAAGCTCAAGCGTGTCAGACTACCTTTCTATAAACCTTCAGTATCAACAGAGGAGCTAACTGTTGTGGAATAATGAAGCCGTTATTTTTAGAGCTCAATATGGAAAAGTAAATTTCGATCCAAGAAAAAGAAAACTAAACCCTCCATGAAAACCTAGAGTGATGACATACCTCATGCAGGCTGTTCATTATCGCACTCAGGGGAGGCAAATTAAGTTTACCACGACTTGCTATCTGCAAGTGATAAAACAAATAAATTTTGAAGTTCAGAATACGCTAAAAAAAATCAATAACTAAAGTGATACGTAAATTGCAACCCGATGATGATTCCAAACATTTAAGCATATTATCCCAATCAATCAAGAAATAATATATGAAGAAAAATTGTTTTGCAAAAACCTCGTCTGCATTGAGGTATCCCACTGGCAATTTGGGGTCACTCTCGTCAATCATCAGTTTCAATAGTTTTTCTAGATTTTTTCCTTCGGCATCACCAAGCCATCCCCACCGCTCAGCCAAACTCATCATTTCTGTTAGATGGCGAGCATTGTGAAGAGGCCCAGTCCAGAGGGGTCCTGAAACCATAAGTGAACGTGAAACCTGAAAAGAAGTGTAATGGTTAGACATGAGCCTGATGATCATCCTTTGTGACCATATGCAGAAACAAACTCCATTTCATTCATATGGTTATTATACATTTAATGACATGACTGGAGTAAAGCCTTTTGCATGATTTTATGACTATTTCAACCAGGAATTGGCAATGGAAGTTAGTAGATTGCGCATGTCGATGTCAATTGTCAAATAAATTGGAAAATGGTAACTACAGGCTAAATAGTTCTAGTTGTAAATATTCCAAAATTGATATACTATGAAGCAGAAACCATACATTTGTACTACAAGGGCAGCTGATCTCACCAAGTTCATTCCAGGAAAATGCTTGAGAATTTCCACATTGGTTGCAATAGCTGATAAAACTATAATACCTATCATGAGAAGAAAGGGCATTATCACCAAGTACTAATGAAATACACCTGAAAAAGTTCACAACCAAGCTTAACCTGCTAGAAGGAGACTTTCCACGCTTGACTTGTAGCAACACTCTAAACACAGGCCCGTGATATGAGTAGTAAGAGAAAAGTGGAACAACATGATAACCAAGCACTGAAGCCTCTCTAACAGCCCCGCCTATAAGCATCCGGAGACCTATCTCATTACAGTATGGCAAAGGTTGAACATATGCTCCATAGGCAGCTAAAGACCTACAAAGAAAGAAAGAGCTTTATGATGATCCTAGCACTAAAACAAGATCAGTAAAAAAAAAAAAAAAAAAAATCTATAGCATAATAGTCCTCTAGTAACTACATTTTGAGCCTAGAAACTCTTTTCTTTCTTTTTTTCTTCTTAATTTGATAAGATGAGCCTAAGTAATTTTATCAAACACAAAGTATAGTTCTATCAATAATACCTTCCCCAAAATCTTTTCTCATACCAAAAGTAGCATAACTGTGTTTAGTTTCCAAACATTTGCGCAAACATTTACAATATAGCTCTATCTAATGCATCATCCGAGTAATTAAACCTGGGGGGTATGAAGATTTATCAACAAATCATAGGCGCGAACATCTCCTTCTAAACCTATCACTTCAGGGGCGGATTTAGGGGGCGGAAGGGTGTTCACCCGAACCCCCTTCGCCGAAACATTACACTGCATATATAAGGTAAAATCTATTTTTTACCTCTATATATTATATTTTGAATCCCCTTAACACAGCCCAAAAGCATAGCTTAGTGGTCAAGGGGGTTCAAAACCTTTGTAAGGTCATCGGTTCTATCCCCCGCTAGCTACAATCTTTCTAACTTTTTTCTTTTCTTGAACCCCTTGGCGGTTAACCTGCCTCCGCCGCTGCCTATCATAAGAATTTGACACAAAATTTTCAAGAATATTATTCTACATTAATTCGGAGTTTTAAGAAAGGAAACAATAAGTTTAAGGGAGAAGATGTGTAATTAGCAAACAGTTAGAGGGGCACAAAAAGCAGTAAGCAGAAACTAAACTGTTGAGGCCTATGACCACCAGAAGAAAGCCCATCAGTGGAGGTAATGTACAACAAGCCACCCAATTTCACAGCATCCAAAGCAACTCGCAAGTAACTGGAACCGCTCCCAAAAGAATCCACATCAATAAGGTCAAAATAGTCCTTTCGCACGTAACACTCAGCCAGTAACCTAGTCGCAGGCAAATGATTAACTTCCCATCTAGAACTACTTGAAACAGAGGATAGATTTCCCAAAATAACCTCCCTGTAATCGACATTTGCATCGTTTGCCACTACGAAATCGGCCTCGGCTTCTGCTAAGTACCGAAGGGAACGAATTCCACAGCCGCACATGGCGTCGAGGACACGGAGGCTGCCGGCGGTTTTACGGTAGAGTGCGGCGGAGAGCACACCGAGGTCGCGGGCGGTGGCGCTCTCGCTGCGGAAGAAGGTGTCGCCGACATCAAATTGGTGGCCCCGTTCCGTTTGGTAGTGTGATTTACAGTGTGGTTGAAGGTTCCGTTTTGGGTTAAGGGAGGTGTAGGTAGAAAAGGATAGCGGTTTGAGAGAAAGAGATGACATGGCGGGAAGTGGCCGATGCGATTTTGTCCATGAACATGTTATAAGAATCTATCCTACTTTTATATTACTAGTTTCTACATTCGTACAATTATTAGTCAATTATTTATGATAGAATTTAAAATTAATATTTTGAGATACTAAACGAAAGCATAGTCTTTCATGCAAATGATGTGTGAAAGATATATTACCATGTGAACGAATTTTTTCTCCATAATACTAAGTTGGGGTAGAAATTAGAGTCTTACACCAATGCACACTGGTGTGGAGGTACATCGAAGTAAGATTTTCGGAGTACTTACCGCATAAAAGGTATAAAAGAACCAAAATCCTAGGAATGAAAATTAGTTTTTCAAATTAGCACCAAAACACATTCCCTAACAAAATGTGTCAATTGTCAAGCAGATATGAAACTTTTTAAAAAGCAATTGACTGAAAAATAATTATACGTTCCTAAAATTCCCAAAAGAAATCATAGAATCCTAGAGTTATTTACATTAGAATTCTATTATTAGTTGGCTTACTTTTTTATTTATGTACGTCTGAAACTTTGGAAATATTTATTAACCTTTTCTTTAATTTACCTAGATTATAGATATATTTCTTTTTAACCCCTTATACAATTTAATAACTGTCTCTAAATTTCATAATGTATATATCTTCTCTTATATAATCACTACAAACAAAAAAAAAACCAGAATTAGCTACAAACGTCGTCGCTAATCTGTCGCTAAAACGCTCGTAGCTAGCAGAATTTCTTGATAATTCGTTGCTAATCCGTCGCAAAATGAGATTAGCGATTAATTTTTCTATTTAGCTACAGAATTTGTCCGTCACTAAGACCTAATTTTTTTAGTAGTGAATAGTTAATTTTAAAGTACTAAATATTACATAAAATAATATGAAAAGTATTATAGTTATGTTACATAATTAAAATATAAAATAATTTATATAAGATCAAATCTTAATGAATTTTAAAGTCCTATATATTTGAACTTCCTAGTAAATATTTAATAGCAAAGATTTAGTTGATTTAAAAGTTCTAAATATTAAAAAAATAATTAAATTATAATTTTGTCCAATATAAAATCTCTACTGGTAATATCAAATATTCTAGAAACAAAAAAATGGAAAAGTTCATAATTGACTTCAAATCATTAAATTATATTTTTAAATTATTATAATATACTCTTTTACATAGTTCTTTTTTGAGTAACATACTATAGCGTTAACCTCCATTTGCTTTATATCTATTGCGTAATTAAGAATTCAATAATCACGTGAAATTCGTCTTTCGAATTTGATAGGAAGAAGTATCATAATTGTAATTTGGAACTGAATTGAATTGGGATTTAGTTGTCTTATTCTTTTTCTAGCTGACGTCAAATAAGTTTCTAAGTATATTTAATTGATTTTAGTCCTAAATATTAGGATTTCATAGGATTTTCAAATAAGAAATATTTAATAACCAAAGTTTTAGTTAATTTTAAAGTTCTGTATATTAGGAAAGTAATTAAATGACTATTGCTAAATAGTAGGAAAATAATTAAGTCTATCTCTATACATTATAAAAATAATTAAACTTCCACATTAAATAAACACATACAGATGAAAAGTTGGAACTTAGATTGGTATTAGAAGTTTGTTCAAGTTCATATAATTATTTCCGACGTTACCACTTTTTAGTTGGAATAGAAGTTATGGATATTGGTAGAGTAGGAATTTACACGCGGTGTATCTAGAGTTTAAATTGGGAAAGAATTCCATCCTAGGGTAATATTTTAAATATTACAATTATATCCACCTTTAACTCAAATATTTAAGGGCATAAAAGTCTATCAAAGTTAGAAGGATATTTTAGTCGTTCAACATTTAGCATAAATTATTCGTGCTTTTATAATAATATAGATTATTTTATTGTTTTGATATTACATGCATTAAATATATATATTTAAATTTAGGCCAAAACTTAATAAGATATCATAAATTTTTAATAAATTTTTTTGAGCAGTAAAATCAAACTTAAATCGTGATATGAAATTATCTTAAATAAACACAACAAGAGAATGAATGTAGGTTAAGAAGGATTAGAACCAACAGAATAGTTAATTTTACTAATTAATGAGATTTAAGAACTTAACTTATTTCACTCACTAACTCGAACAACCTAACGAATACTAAACAAAACTGAAATCTTTCATTTGTAACAATTAAAAAAATATATTATTTACGGAAAAGGGTTCAAAATGCCCCTAAACTATTGGAAAAGGTTTAAAAATATCCTTCATTCACCTATTGGACTAAAAATACCCCTTCATCCACTTTTTTGGTTCACTTATGCCCTTTGACCATTAGGTCAATGCTAAATTAAAAATATTTTCTTTTTGAAAAGCTTAAAAAAAATGCGAAATATTTTCGTTTTTTTTAACTAATGCAGCAATAGTCAACCAATTTAGTAAAGTCTTTTTTTTTTTTTTTTGCTTTTACAAAAAACAATTCAGTTTTCATTTTTTTCAGTTTTTTTAAAGCATTTCTTTTTGTAAAAACTGGAAAAAAAATTATAAAAACAGAAAAATAAATTTCTTTAATAAAATATTTTCATTTTTTTAAAACTGAAAAAAATTACTTTCAACAAAATATTTTCGTTTTTGAAAAATATTTTTTTTTTCGGTTTTTTTTTCAGTTTTCTTAAACATTTAGTTTTATTTTCGTTTTTCAGTTTTTTCTAAAAGAAAAAATATTTTCGTTTTTTTGAAAAAACTGAAAAAAAAATATTTTTCAAAAACGAAAATTTTGTTGAAAATATTTTTTTCAGTTTTTACAAAAACCAAAATATTTTATTAAAAATATATTTTCTGTTTTTATAATTTTTTTCAGTTTTTACAAAAAAATGCTTCAAAAAAATTAAAAAAAAATAATTTTTTGTAAAAACTGAATTGTGTTTTGTAAAAACTGAAAAACAAAGAAGAAGTAGACTTTACTAAATTAGTGGACAACTGGTGCATTAGTTTTAAAAAACGAAAATATTTAGTGAAATATTTTTTTTAAGTTTTACAAAAAGAATAATAATTATTGTTAATTTAGCATTGACCTAACGGTCAAAGGGCATAAGTGAACCAAAAAGGTGGATGAAGGGTATTTTTAAACCTTTTCCAATAGTTTAGGGGCATTTTGAACCCTTTTCCGTATTATTTATACTATTACTAAAAGCACGAAACTCTAATACAAACTAATGCAGGTCATCGTTTTAATCCTTCATAAGTGTATCATATGTTGGATAAAATTATAATAGCAATTAATGATTAAAAATTATATTATTTTCTTGTACTCATTGTTTAACCTTTTTATTTATATAAAATTATATCACAAGAAAACTACCATATTTTCTTTTTTGGTTAAACTTTTAAATTTTCATTTAACCAAGTAAAAATATTTATATCCACTAGTTCTTTTGGACTCCAGAACTAGACCTATCCAATAGAACTATCTGACTAATCAGTTAACATACTTCCTCTAACAATTACATTGCACTATAGTAACTAGGAAATTCTTCAATCTTTCCAGCTCTTTGTGCCACTTTGCTTCACTTTACCCTGTGATATGCAGCTGCATTGCAATATCTTTGATCCTCTGATTGCAAGCAACTGTTTTCCCTTGAAATCTTCTTTTGTTTCTCTCTGCCCAGACATGATACACCATTGCTGTGAATAGGAATATCAATATTTCACCTCGAGCTTTGCTGGCAGTTCTTCTTTTCAACCATTCAATCTCCTCTTCCCAGGTACCAATCTGATGTTTTTCATTCAGCCATTGTAACAGTAGAACCCATATTGTTCTGGCATACTCACATCCAAACCATATATGTTCCATTGACTCCTCCTCTTTTGTTGCGCATAGTACATATTCATTTGCTACTGTTACTCCCCATCTCCTTAGTCGATCAACTGTAGCCAATTTCCTATGTACTGCTAACCATAGAATGAATCTATGTTTTGGTATTGCTTTAGATCCAGTTAATATTTTCTTCCACAAACTTTTCTGAAATTGAGGTCTCATAGCAATATATAGCTTTTTTAAGCTAAATTTACCATTTCTATAATACCTATTCAGCTTAGTACTTGTATGTTTTTCCATAAACCAATATCTGATATAAAAAATCTTCCTAACAAGCCAACATGCTTATTTAGGAGTATCCATCGTCATGCTATCTTGCCCTTTGATGTAGTAGCTATGTATCCATTGTATCCATAGGGTATCCTTCTTTGCACTGACAGCCCATAATAGTTTACACAATGCAGCTTTGTTCCATATATGAATGTCTAGTACATTTAACCCACCCGCTGAGAATGGCATACAAACTGTGTCACATGCAATTAAAGCTCTCCTTGATGGCTAACCCCTTCCTGTCCATAAGAAAGTTCTACAAGCTGAGACTATTAGCTTAAGAATTTTCTTTGGCAGTAAAAACACCTGCGCCCAGTAAGTCTGCATTTCAAAAATTATACTTTGCAGCAATTGGAGCCTTCCAATGTATGATCTTCTCAATCAATGGCATACACTGTTGAACTGTCAGCTTCTTTGAAGATAATGGTACTCCAAGGTACTTAAATGGTAACTCCCCTAGTGTAAATTGCATCTCTTCCAGAATCATTTCTTTGAATTCCCTTATAACACCTGCAATGCATAAAGCACTCTTCTCCATGTTAGCCTTAAGGCTTGACACTTCTGAGAAATGGTTGAATCTGTCTAGTAGCAATCTGATAGACACCTTATCTGCTCTACAATACGGGATCAAATCATCTGCAAAGCATATGTGAGTAATGTTATTTCTAGAGCACCTCGGATGATAATTAAATTCAGGGTTATCCTTCAGCTTCTTCAATGCCCTATTCAGATAACCATCACCAGAACAAAGAGATAAGGAGACATTGGATCTCCTTGTCTTAACCCCTTCTTCCCCTGGAATTTAGTTGTTAAACCTCCATTTAATATCAATGAGTAGCTGACAGTAGATACACAGTTCATTATCAGCTCCACAAACTTAGTAGGCATACCATACTCTATCAATATCATTTTTAGAAAAGGCCATTCTACTGAGTCGTATGCTTTACTTATATCCACCTTTATACAGCATCTTGGTGAAACTCCCTTTTGAGTATATCCCTTGACCAACTCATGTGCAATAATAACATTATCAAGTATGTTTCTCCCTTCTATAAATGCTGATTGAGAAGGTCCCACAATTGAGTCCACTACCAACTTTAATTTTGCTGTGACAATCTTTGAAATGATCTTATACACTGTAGTGCATCAGGCAATAGGTCGAAACTCTTTGACAGAGTTTGGGCTAGCAACCTTAGGAAATAGTGTTATTGTTGTACAATTAACACTCTGAAGCAACTTCCCAGTTTTAAAAAATTCCTGTACATCTTGTTTAACTTCTTCTCCAATTATATGCCAGTACTCTTTGAAAAACTCTACTGAAATACCATCTATCCCTGGTGCTTTTTCGTTTGGTAGCTCCTTCACTGCCTTCTCAATATCTTCCATAGTTACTGGAGCAATAAGCAATTGTTGTTGCTCCTTTGTGAGACAGTGTCCATCCCTAGCTATTTCAAGATCAATACAGGAAATTTCACTTGTTGAAGTACCCAATAAACTTTGGAAGAAGCTTTTAAATTCTTGTTCAATTTGCTTTGGTTCTGTTACCCTCCTCCTTTGTTCATTACAAATGGATGCATTCTGTTTCTTGCCTGCCTAGTTTTTAGTTGAGCATGGAAGAATTTAGAGTTCTATCTCCTGCTTTTATCCACACAGCTCTGGACTTTTGTCTGAGCACTTGTTCATTTACCCCTTCCCATTTTTCAATCTGCATAATCAACTCTCTTTCCCGATCAATTAACTGTTGGTTGAGAGGATCATCATCCAACTTCCTTTGAATATTCTGCAGCTCCATTCTTAAGTTCACAATCTTTTTCTGCAATGAGTTCATCTCCTTGTTCAGCTGTCTGGTTCTATTCTGTAATCTTTGTAGTTTAATCCATACAGAGTACATAGTATACCCCTTAATTCCTTGATTCTAGACCTCATTCATACTCTCTTTAAACTCCTTTTGATGTAACAAAACATTGTAAAGCCTAAAAGGCTTTTGTAAGTGGTTCTTTACCTCTTCAGTATTTATCACAATAGGTGAGTGATCAGAAATCCCTGGCAGTTCATATACAGCTTCTAGACTGCTGTACTTTGTAAGCCAAGAGGTATTTCTAAACACCCAATCAATATTGCTATAGATTCTATCCCCTGCATCCATTTCATTGCACCATGACCACTGACAACCTTTTCTATTCAATTTCCCCACTCCAATATCTCTTATACAGGCTTGAAAATCCACTAATTCAGCTTGATGTATAGGTTGACCATTTATTCTATCATTAACAGACAGAACACTATTAAAGTCTCCTATTACCAACCAAGCCTCCTGCATTGTGCTATAAATCTGCCTTAGTTGATCCCATAGCTCCCTCCTTTCATGCACTTTGTTCTTTCCATATACAAAAGTGATGTAACATGAGAAATGTGACCCTTTTTCCTTCACTTGGCAATGAATCAATTGAGTAGTGACCATCAGAATTTGGACTTGAACCATACTGTCCTTCCAAAATAACCATAACCTCCTAATCCTTGAGTTCTCTCTACTTATAGGGCTTATTCATCCCTCTTATATTCCAAGAGCTTATTATCATGGTGGATTTTCCTCATTGAGGCCAATTCCTTCAGTCACTTTTGCAGTGCTGCAATCCTCTTGTATTCTCAAAGAGCTGTATCTGTTAGTCATTAGCAGCTTCTCTATCTCAGTGTCATTTAGAGCTCTCTTACTTTGAACTTGAGTTTTCATCTTCTGCTTTCCTTTGGATCTTTGTTGTGGCTGGAATGCCCCTTCTTGTTCAGCAGTCTGCTCTACATTATTCTGTTCTTCTTGTTGCTTTTGCAAATGCTCACTTATCTCCCCTTTCTGTTCTTTCCCTGTCTCTTGTTGTACTGGTACTTCTGAATGCTCAACAACAGGTTTTACTTTCCATTGTGTTTTTCTCTTCTGTTGCTTGAATGGTTTTCCTTGTTTTTGTTGTTTCTCCACCTTGTACTGTTTCTTTTCTACTGGGGCCTTCTCACAGTTAGCTTCATCCTGTCCTATTTGGAAACAGACTTCACAGAATGAAGGTCTCCATTCATAGTCTAGGACTTGCTCCCTATATTTGCCACCAGCCTCCTTAATTAGCATTATGTCTGGCAATTCTTGAGAAACATCCATTTCAATTAACATTCGTGCATAGGATATTCTATCTCCCTCTGCCGTTAGTCCATCAGAACATATAGGTTTCCCTATATAACTTGCTATTCGACCCAGATTCTCCTTTGTCCAATATTCAACTGGTAACCCTGGAAATAGCACCCAAATTGGTACATTTTGCGTCATTTCTTTACTCATCTGAAATTTAGGCACCCACTGTTTCAATATCATAGGTCGATTATAGAATGTGTATGGTCCTCTCTGAACAACTTTATTCTTATCATCTTCAGATTCAAATCTGAATACAAAATACCCATCATCGTGAAGAAATACCTGTGGAGTTGCTACGAAGTTCCAAACGCCATACACGAATTTGAGCATATCTTTGAAGGATGGATTTCCACCCAATACATACCCAATTAGTGCTGCTTGCCACTTCTGGGTTTGCTCAGCCACCTTTACTTGATTCAGGCGAACCACCTTTACTCCTTCTTTGATAATTAGGGGATAATACTCCAATTGCATCCCCTGTTGTTGAGATCTGTTGCCTTTAACCACCTCAGCTAGCGTCGTCTCTGTTCCCCCATGGTTTGGGCGTTGATTTGAGAACGTAAGCTTCCTTGCTGCGGTGTTATTATCCACCTCTACTGGTTGAGTCTTCTTCATTTCAGCACATTTTGAAGCTTGCATGACAGTTGGTGCACTCCCTATTCCAGCCATCTAGTGGACTAATTGCATTTGACCTATCGTTTGTGGAATCCCTCACTCCGGTGTTACCATTCTTCCTCCTTTTGCAGCCTCCGATTTTGTTGGCGGTGGCGTTGTCTGTGATTTCCGTCGAGTCATCGTAATGTGCGTACGTTAGCTATCCCTGCCTAACGTGCGCCTTCAGAGAGAGCATGACTCTATTAAAACTACCATATTTTCATTAAGTGACAATTAATTTTTAAGAATTCCATTATTTTTTAGTTTATTATTTGATCTTTTCAATTAATACTTTTTTAAATAGTTTCATGAAGGTGACATTAGAATACAATAAATATCTCCTCCAAGTTTTCAAGTTTTATTTTCTAATTTTTTTAATCATTAATCAAAGCACATATGAATGAATTAAATAATATTCCCAAGTCTTTTTAATATAAAGTTCTGATTTTCTTGTATAGTGACATAGGAATGCACCAACTCTTTTTTCAGATTTTTAAGTTTTTAATTTAATACTCCAAATTAAAATTAATTTTAGTTCTTCGGCGAAGGCCTTCTTATACCACTAGAAAATTACTAATGTGTGTTAAACTTACCATGAATATTTGGCAACGGTTTTCATTTTAACATCTTAACTAAAATTATTTCCTGTTAGGCACGTAACGTATGTTTAACATGTATCTAAGAATATTTCATCGGTAGACGGTAATTGGTAAAAAAATGAAGTGTGTATAATTCACACACAGATGATGTGAAAAAAATGACGAACGTGCCTAGAAAATCATGAAAAAGAGAATTTTGAGGGAAAAAAGGAAAACTGATTTGACATACACAAAGTTTGATCATCTTCTCTACGTCCTTAGGTCCACTTTCTCATCATCATCACCCTTTCATTTTGATGTTCTAGTGAAGTATTGTAATCTTTAATTTCTTTGTACTCTACATTCGCTCTTTTGTTACTTTCGTATAATTTCTTGATTCTTGATACGAATTTATATTTTTTATTTTAGTGCATTCTGTTAGATTCTTCTAATTCATTTAGTCGGATGTTTCGTGGGTTCTAGCA